TTCAAAATGACATTCTGATGTGCTAATTAGGCCCAGCTATGTTCTGTGAATGTGCTAAAAGTTCCAGTCCAGAAATAGCAGTTTGAGGGAGAGAAGGTTCAGGCCAGAGTTTCTGTATCGAGTCACATGATCCTCTTTGAAGTTCACACCAAAGAAGAAGAACGGGCTTTTATTATTATTATTATCATTATTTCACCTGATGAGATGAAACACGGTAAAGACAAAAACCTCCCAGACTGAATAATACTACTGAGTATTACTACTGAAAAATACTACTGAAAAATACTACTGAATAATACTACTGAGTAATACTACTGAATATTACTACTGAATAATACTACTGAGTAATACTACTGAATAACGCTACTGAACAGTACTACTGAGTAATACTACTGAACAGTACTACTGAGTAATACTACTGAACAGTACTACTGAATAATACTACTGAACAATACTACTGAACAATACTACTGAACAATACTACTGAACAATACTACTGAACAATACTACTGAACAATACTACTGAACAATACTACTGAACAATACTACTGAACAATACTACTGAACAATACTACTGAATAATACTACAGAACAGTACTACTGAGTAATACTACTGAACAGTACTACAACCACATCAGTGTACAGTCACACTGGACTGACAGTGGTTTATACTGGTTACCAAGGATGCAGGACACACACACACATATATATTAATAACTGACTAGTACAGCCAGTAGGTGGCAGAAATGAGCTCAACAATCAGCCTAGCCAAGCCTTTGATTATCTGTAAAACACAAAGTTATAGATTTTTTTTTTTTGTGGGTGGAAACGTCAGAGTTTTTTTTTACTGCAGCCGTGGGTGAAGACACAAGAATTTGGTTGTTTATATTTGACAACCTTCGTCTGCTCTGAAATGTTAGATTCTGCTGCGCACACACACCTACAGACACACCTACAGACACACCTACAGACCATATTTAGACGTTGTCCATAACAACCGTGTGGGTTTGTTTCAACGGTTCCATTGTCATTTTAACCAGCGCTGCTCGTCGTCATGGTTATTCACTCTGGACTGATTATAATCACGGCTCCACAGCAGCGACCCGACTAAAACAAAGACACGCCAAGGACGACCTGCTGGACTCGGCTGAGTTGGACACTGAAGACGAGTCTCCGAAAAAACATCCCTGACTAATTATGAAAGAATTCTTTTCAGGTCGAGGCTCATTTCCTGTCACCTTTACCACCATCGCGCCCTTGACCCCCGCCGGCCCTCTGCCGCATCAGGGGGGCACCCAACCACCCACCCACC